TGGTGGATCGTTCTTCTGGGGGTAATAATCCTTTTAAAGAAAACAATGCTAATAATAATTTGGTCACTGAATCCACGACTGTTTGTGGGACACTTCTGTGCACAATTGGCTGCCACTTTTTGCCCACAAAATATAGTCATTCACTTAACAGTATATTCTGTGAAGAGTTTTGAGATGTCTAGAAGATGTGATAAGCCACTATATCAAATGCAAGGATTATTATGTTTTCCTACTTCACGTGACTAAGAACCACTAACTGCCTGAACTAACAATTCTCCAGATCACTACATTTCAATTACAGGTAGTTTCACTGATGAGTCTCTGGGGAGGTACCTATTAATTATAACTGTGTGGGAAGGTTGTATTATTCCTGGGGGGGTCCATCTACTGCTCACTAAGATAATTGGAGAAATCTCAAATACCCCTAATGTGCTAAATTTTAGTCTCAACAACGCAGAGCTGACTAAAAGGGTAAAAAATGCGCAATTAGCTGGTGCGTTTGCCAATAAAATATACAGTCAATTCACTTTAATTTCTGTGAAGGCGCTTTGAGACTTCTCGAAGACGTGATAAAGTGCTATATTAAATGCAAGGATTATTATTATTATGACTGACTCAGTTTGTACCATTCTTGCCTCTGAGTCAGAAAGTTGTGGCTTCATGCCTCATGTTGGGACTTGGAATTCATATAGTTCAGGTTGACACTCCATTGCAGTACTTTGGGAGTGCTGCATTGTCAGAGATGCTGTCCTTTGGATGAGGCATCAAACCAAAGTCCTGTCTGTCTGTTCAGGTGGATGCTAAAGATCCCATGGCAGGATTTGAAAAGAGAAGGGAGTTTTTCCTAGTGTCCTGGTCAATGATGGCCCCCAAAAATTAATCATTGACTTCATGCCCCAACCACCCTACCATCGGTGGCCGGGCCTTCAGCCTCTCAGCCCCTAGGCTCTGGAACTCTATCCCCCAGTGCCTTCGCCCTTGCCTCCTCCCTTTCCTCCTTCAAGGCTGGTCTCGAGACCTTTCTCTTTGACCAAGCCTTCAGCTCCCCTCTCGATTCTCTACCCCCTCCTCGCTCCCTCCCTTCCCTCCCCTCACCCTGACCATTTCCCCCCTGCTCGGATCCTGACCCAACTGTACAGCGCCTTGGGACGTCCTCCCGACGTGAAAGGCGCTCAATAAATGGAATCTTGTTGTTGTTGTTGTTGTTGTACTTCATTGGCTGTCATGTTCACCCACAGAAAATACAGACATTCCACTTACAGCAATAATAATCATAATCCTTGCATTTGATTTTGCGCCTAATCACATGTTTGAGATGTCTCAAAGGGCTTCACAGGATAATACTGTAAAGTGTAGTACATCCTGTGAAGCTCTTGGAAACCTATCAGAATGTTTCAGATTATGCAAACCAGACTAAGAGTTCTACATATGCAAGCCACCTAAGCATGAAAATTTCAAGTCTGGAGTCACGCCCTGCTTACTTAATTCCAAGAAGTATTAGGCATAGGTTTGTAAAAGCCGAGGCTTAGAGATCCCATAGAAACAAAACCATTGAACTCTTCAACCCATGTTGTGGTTCTCCACATGAGTCAGACCGATCTAGTCTAATCCCAGTCTCTTGCTCCCTACCCATACACTTTAATGTTCTTCATAACACAATCCTGAACTAGAAAGCTAAAGATCTTAGGAAGATAGTGGACCAGGAAAAAACACTGCAGTGCACTGGCCTGTCCCAAAGGTGAGAAATAAATGAATGTTATTTTGTTGATTCAATCACAAAGCTACCATAATTCTCTGCTTTCCTGCATCAGCTACTGAAATGAACCTAGATATTACTAATGGTCTAATTATGTGGTAGACGAGTGGGAGTTAACCATCCACCATTATGCACCATGTCTTTTCTGCTGGCAACTAACCAAACACAATAGCAGATAATAAAGATATGATGTTGCTGTGATTTTATATATAATATGACAGAATTACACACTGGAATATTTTGCAAGCAAGCAATATTTCCCAAGGTTGTAGTGATGCTGATAAACTTTGATGCCAATTAAAACTTCAGTATTATTCTTGCTTGCTGTCACATATTTGGAGGTAAATTTGGCAGTAAATTGGAAATGGAATTTCCCTATAAGCTTTCCCACAAGTGAGGAATGTCCCTCAGTGTGTTGTAAGGTTGTAGAACGTCCATAGGTTGAGAAGATTGTCATGTTTCTTCAAATCATATGTGTGCACATCACCAAAATCAGTAAATCTATGGACAAGTGGAGAATAACGCAGACTATATAATAATCCTTACACTTGATAAAGTGCCTTATCACATTGTTGAGATGGTTCAAGGCGCTTTGCAGAATATACTGTAAAGGTGAATTGACTGTATATTTTATGGGAGAAACGCGGCAGCCAATTGCGCACAGTGGTGTCCACTTACCTAAGGTTTTGTCCCAACCTGGAATTGAACCCAGGTCCTCTCGCTTGCGAGGCGAGTGCTCTAATCAATATGCGACTGGACTCCACTAAGGACTATGCTTTAAGAGATCAGCACTACAAGCAGAGTCTCTGAAGTGAGCTCAGTAGGCTGAGCACTCCTTACCAACTTGAAAATTATACTTCTGCCAGCTGGCACTATAACAATACAGCTCCAGGACACTACCCGACAAATGTGGTGTTAAACGACAATGGCTACAGGCAAGTGAACAGCATTATAAATCAGGGATTTGGGGATCTTGGATTGTAATTATAAAAATAGTAATGTTCAAAACCGGAAAAGTCCCAACAGAGTCTGTCTAGTCAGTGTCAGTATGACTCAAGTCGGTGGCATTTCACCTCTCGGTCAGAAGATTGTGAATTCAAGCCCCAGATCAAGATCTAAGCTCATAGTCGAGGCTGACATCCCATCACAATCATGATCGATGGAGGTCTCCTGTTTCGAATATGATATTAAACTGAGGTCATGTCTTTCTGCTCTTTCAAGAGCACGTAACCGCAGACTGAGGGATAACAGACACGGTACTGTGGTGTTTCCCACCCTCCGCCCACCCCTTCTTTCAGGGTTTGGGTTTGTGATTAGCCGATTTGCAAATCTCAAACATGTTATGGCTCCAGAGATTTGTAGATCGGAAACTCACAATTAAGGCAATGTATCTGGTTTACGAACCCTGCAATTTAGGCCCCAGTGTATAAAAAATATTTATCAAGATGCCAGGAACAACGCACATGATATTGGTGCTGTTTTCTGCTTCTGTAGTCTCCAAGTGAGGCATAGAAATGTAGCACTACCACCTCGTGGCAGATATACATTACTGCACAAACAATATTTCCATTACCTTAACGGGCAGTGCCAAGAAATTCATTTCCCACATTCCCTTACGAGTTTGGGGTGTAATACTGATGGTTGAATCTGCCTTCCTTATGACAAAATGCCCTCGATTACCATTTGTATGGCTTGTGACAACGCAAAAGTATTTTACCTTATGGATTGTAATACGAGAGGTCACTTACATAAGAACATGGCAAGCTCATTCTATTGTTGTATGATTATGTTTATATTATTCATGTTGTGGATATAAACATGTCTGATAATAAAATGCTGTTTTAATTTGTTTTTGCCATCTGTTAGTTGGCAGATGCCTGCATTCTGTTATCAATTGTTTAACCAGCGCAGAACAATTGTGCAGCTTCCTGATGAGACATCCTATGTCTCCTGCCAACTTACTGATGAATTAAAATGTAAATTGCTCAATTGGAGAGAATAAGGGAATTATTCTGCAGTTTTAAAGCAAACACAGTAGAGAATTAAGAACAAGTTCTATTATGCTATTTACAGTGACTTTAGGTAATAGAAGCCAATGAGAAATAATGTATTCAGTGGATTCCATGCAAACATCTGTGCGGGACATTCAACAGTGAGGATGCCAACTTGTCTTTTATATGCAAATAAACAATTTTGCTATCTGTGGCTTGGTTCAATTCCCCAGCCTTCTGGCTGTTAAAATCAATTACCAACACAAGGGTTCATTGATGGTCTCCCTCATTATTCAATGGAAGGAACAGTGTTGGGAGATGGGGTGTCTGACCACATACAATAAGAACTACTGTAGATTGACATTGTGTTACAATTCACATAGGATTCCTAGTCAAATGACTGGTGACTTTTATCCCAGATCTTAAGAGATGGCACAACCCAGTCACCCACTTTTATTTTTCTTTGTTTTCTTGTGTACACAGTAAACACAAGTAAAAAAAAATGTGAAGCAAATGTTTCAGGTGTTTTGAATGTAGAAATAAACCATTTGAGTTTTGCTCATGTGAATTATGTCTCATGTCTCTTAATGCCTTAGATGTGTGTTATTGCTTTGTGAAGCACTCCAATGTATATGCTCTAAGCAGAAGTAAATACTCCAGTGGGAATAAACATAGGACAAATAGATTTGTCCTGGTTGTTAGAGGTTATTTAATGAGTCAGCTAATAATCCTTCCATTTGACATAATGCTTACAACAACTCAACTTCTCAAAGCGCTTCACAGGAAATTTCTGTAAAGTGACTGTGTATTTGTAGCCAAGTATGGCAGTCAATTAGTGCACAACAATATCTCACAAACAGTATTTACGTATAGTTACAAATATATCTGGCCGTTTGTTGGCCTAGAGAAACTCAATTTTCTTTTTAAATAGTATGATGGGATCTTTAATGTCCACCTGAAACAGGCAAACAGGCCCTTAGCTTAACATCTCATCTGAAGAGTGACATCTCTGCTAATGCAGCGCTCCCCAGCACGGAGTGCCAGCCTAGACTATGAGCTCAACCTTCCTGCTGTGGAAGTTGAACCACAACCTGTACCTACGGAGCCAGGTTCATACACAGATGTACATTTCCGTTGTTAGACATTGAAGATTAAATGTTGGGATAACTGGTGAAGTATGAATGAGGCATGTGAAGGGTGCAGCACACTAAGTATTGTGTAAACACACAGTAACACAAGAAGGTAGAAAATAGTTTGTGGGAGATAAAGAAAGCTTTGTTAGTGTTTAATTCAATTCTTTACACATGCAAGTTTAAATACCAACCCTTACATGACTAAAAGCCGGCATTCTTATTACAAGTGAAATAATGTACAGCATTGTTCAACTGTTGGTCCTTCATTTGTGCCATGGATTACATTTACTGTGTCCAGCATACTGTGAATGTTTTGTTGGTTGTCAGGTACACATATCCTTATGGGTCTGTATAAATGTCTGCCACACGTCAGTCATCGTCCAGCCAGAGGTCTGTACTGAAGTTCTCGTTCAAACTGCTCAGCTGTCAGACTCCCTTCAATAGCCTCACAGCCAGGGTTAAACACCGAGTAGGCACTCGCTTCTCCTTCCTTCTTTTTTGAGGAATCCCGGGTCCCCACGTAGATCCAGTAGAACATTGATATTAGGAAATAGACCAGGCCGAATTCTAACTCGATGAAGAGGCCGAGGAGTACCAGCCAGAGGAGGAACTTCAGGAAGGTGACATTAGTCAGGATTGAGTGATCAGTTTTAACAAGTCGGGCCACAAATCCATCACAAAGCCAGCCACAAACATTTTCTCTGTTCACCTGAAAGCAAAGTAAAATATGGAACATTACATCTTGGAAGAAGCATAATGGCCCTTTTTATGAGGAAGGAGGGAATGGAATGACGGCAACTGGCCTCTGCGTTTCACCCACAAAATACACAGTCAATTCACTTTACAGTATATTCTGTGAAGCGCTTTGAGACGTCTCGAAGACGTGATAAGGCGCTGTATCAAATGCAATGATTATCATTATTATTAATGGTGTTTTGTGCCAAAGCGCAGAAAATATATCGCTTGTTTTAGTACTGAGTTTGCACCTCTTTCCCACCTAAGACTATGCACAGATTCGGGGAAATACCAATGTTCCCAAGATATGATAATCCTACCATTTGATATAGCAAATTATCAAGTCACTGATATTTAAAAACAATGCAGCTCATACCAGGGCCCTGAAGCACATACCCCCATTACTCCAATAACCTAAAGAAAACCAACTCAAAAGTATATTAATCTCCATTCTCACTTGGAATTGCTATATGTCTCAGACCGATGATGAATTGCTCTACCTGTATAAATTCAATAATAACTAACTGTGAAACAGTCCCGACAAAATTGCAGTGGCAATAAAACAGGCAGGTTGCTAGCAGTTCTTTGAGTGCCACCTCCACCTCGTGGCTACTGGCCGCACCAGTTTTGCTGGTTGTCCCAAAACCCCAGCGATATTTAAAGATACCCAGAAGCTGAGTGTGCTATGACGGCTTCAACACATTGATTGCAGAAAATGGGACTTAAAAAGCATCCCGTTGCCATGGAAACCCTGCCTGCCGCAGAGCTGTGCTTTGGTCCTAGAGGACTCTAATGGATTTGAACACTGAATATTGATAAGCAACATTACGCGCACAATGGGACAATCGATGCAAACGCAAGTTTCTACTTTTGCCTCCCAACGTTAGACAAGCTGCCAACACACTGGAGCAGTCTCCGGGGAAAACAGAAACCCACTTGATTCCCTTTCACTGATGTGGTTCCAGAGCAGTTGCTCACACACATTTCCCCTTTCATCTGAACCCAGTTTCAAATGAACACAGTGATGCAGAATTCAAACAAAATAAAACTGTTAATAAATAATAAGTGTAAGTTACCAATCTGTCCTCCTCCACCGCCTCTCCTCTCACTCAACCTTCCTGGTTCTGTCCTTGACTGGTTCAGATCGTACCTCTCACACCAACTCCACTTCATGTCCACAAACGGCTTCTCCTCCAGCCCCCACACCGTCTCGTGCGGCGTTCCTCAGGGCTCTGTCCTTGGTCCCCTCCTCTTCAACATTCATATGCTCCCTCTTGGTGATATCATCCGTAGACATGGGGTCAACTTCCACATGTATGCGGATAACACCCAACTGTATCTCTCTGCCTCCACCCTTGACTCCAGGACCGCTGCTGTACTGATAAAATGTCTGTCAGACATCAAGTCCTGGATGAGAGCTAACTTTCTAGAGCTGAAAGTCAACAAGTCCGAGGCCCACCTCAGGCGCTGACAGCATAACTATCCAAGGATGCCCACTCCACCTTACGGAACTTTGGCATCTTGTTTGACCCTCGACTATCTTTTCCACCTGTGCCATGAGCCTCTCTGACTTTCCCCACCACCGCAACGTTGCCCGACTCTGCCATTTTCTCACATCGCAGGCCGCCGAAACCCTCATACACACATTCATAACATCCAGACTCGACTATGCAAACTCCCCAACTCCTCCCTCCATGGGCTGCAGATCATCCAGAACTCTGCAGCCCGTGTCCTCTCCCACATCAGGTTCCGTGACCCGATAAACCCCATCCTCACCCGACGCCAATGGCTTCCCATCACACAGAGGATACACTTCAAGATCTGGGTCCTCACCTTCAAACCTCTCCACAGCCTTTCTCCTTCCTACCTGTGATCTCTTAGCCTCCCCTACCAATCTGCCCGCTCCCTCAACGCAGCGGGCTCCAGCCTGCTTCACGTCCCCTGCCTCGCTCGCCTCACCATTGGCGGGCGGGCCTTCAGCCACTCTGCCCCCACCCTCTGGAAATCTACCCTGCAGACTCTCCGCCTCATCCTCTCCCTTGCCTCTTTCAAGACTCGTCTCAAGACCCTCTTCGACCGTGCCTTCAGTCACCTCCTTCCCCGCCTGACCCCCAGCTCCCTCCACCCTCCCTGACCCCCGTCTTGGGTCCGAAACACTGACTGTCCAGCGCCTTGGGGTGTGCTCCCGGTCTGAAAGGCGTGCCCAAATGTAATTTTATTGTTGTTGTTCATTCTGTTGACTCTTTTTAAAAAAAACGTGTTGAAAATTAAGTAGCTGGAATGTGGAATTCCCTGCTATAAATTATTACTGGGCACCATAATTAAAAAAAAGTCATAGATGAATGCTTAATAAAGAGGACAACAACTTGCATTTATATAGCGCCCTTCAGGCAGGGCAGCACCTCAGAGCATTTAACATTGGCGGAGTCTGATGCCGAGCCAGGGAGAGGAGGTGCCTGTGAGCTCGGTCAAAGAAGAAGGTCTTCAGTCGTGATCTAAAAGGGCATGGATGGGCAAGGTGGAGGGATTGGGGAGGGCTCCAAAACTTTGGGGCGCAGTGGCTGAAAGTGCAACTGCCGGGGGGTAGTGGAGTAGGGAGAAAGCAGGACAGAAAGGTAGGGAGGATTAAATATGATTCAATTAGGCTACAAAGAATGTGGACATTGGGTAAAGGACTAGATCTGGTTTATCTGTGGTTCTCCACAATCAAACAATAATAATGCATTTTGAATAGCAGTTGAAGAGGAGGGTCTTGAGATAGGCCTAGAAGGAGCCAAGGGAGTGGGTGAGGCGGAGGGACTGTGGGATAGTTCCAAAGGGGGCAGATAGGCTGAAGGGCCGACCGCTGATGGGCAACCCTTAATAGCTAGATTTACATTTGAAGAATGGCTACTTAGACAAAGTATAGGAGGGCCTTTATACCTTAGCAATTTAAGTGCCCTGCATGAAGGACACTATATAAATGCAAGTTGGTGTTGTTATTCTCAATGTTTCCAGGAGAGAGGGTAAAATAAGACGGAAACATTGCAATCACTGAGGTAAAGTTTATTGGAATGACTTGAGGCTGTGATGGAGGATGAAGGATCTTACCCTCAGACTTCTCCAATTCCTTCACCTGAAACATTGTTTTTGTAGCTTAAAAAGGTTCAGATACAATTTTATCCCATTTTGTGACACGTGTTAAGATTAGGTAGGGCGATAATATCCATTTACCTCAGTAGAAACAATTGAAAAGTAAAGCAGAGTTTCATGTGTTAAAGCTTAGTGTTAGTCGTCAGTTTTTTTTTTGCACGATGAGAAAGTAGAGAACAGCTGGAAAAGATCATTTGGGCCGTCATCAACAGTTTTGTCAAAGAGGGAACCATAAACAATGGCTGTTTATGAAGCTTGAATGCAATAGGAACATTGGCCTTTTAATTCTATGCAGATAAGTCTGGCGTGAGCAGATTGTGTATGTTGTTTTGTGGGGCTTGCTGTGTGAGTCCAACAACAAGATTTCATTTATAGAGCGCCTTTCACGTCGGGAGGACGTCCCAAAAGGCTGGACAGTTGGTTCAGGACCCGAGCAGGGGGGAAATGGTTAGGGGGAGGGAAGGGAGGGAGCCAGCTGCCCTTTTTATGCTATACAACAACAACAACAAATTACATGTGTGTATAGTGCCTTTCATACGCTCGGCAGCACGATTTCTAAGACGAAAAGGAGTTGCCATGTTTACAGGTGGTACACACCAAGAGTGCAAGTAGTCAGATGCAATGGTTAGGCCCGTGAAGTAGAGGGAGAGCAGAGTGAGTGAGTGAGAGAGAGAGAGAGAGACTGGCCTGCGGGCCGCCCTGGGCTTGTGGGACAACAGTACCAACTTGCATTTACGTAGTCCTCTTCACGCAGGGTAGCGTCTCGGAGCAATACTATCTCTCACTCATCACTGTACGGGCATTTGTTGCACTCGGTGTTGAAGCTCCACCAATATTAAGCGCTCCGAGGTCCGAGGTGCATGAAGGGTACAATATCAATGCAAGTTGCTGCACTACCTGCCATACAGTGTAATATAACAGGCAGTGCAGCAGTGCAGTCTCGGCTCATCGCCAGCACCTGGAAAGACAGACCAGTCACTGGGCTCAAGGAATCCTCCCACTCGGCTCCTGTTAACCCTTGCAAACCAGAGCCCTAATGTACAGCGTGGTCCAAGCTGGACAAGCCGCGTCTGGGCCGGGCCGGACCGGGGGGAGGGGGCCCCAACAACAACAAAATTACATTGGTAGAGCGCCTTTCACGTCGGGAGGACGTCCCAAAGCGCTGAACAGTCAGGTGTCGGGGGCCGAGCGTGGGGGAGGGGTGAGGTAGGGGTGAGGGAAGGCAGAGAGGTGGGAGGGCGACCAAAGGCACGGTCGAAGAGAATGGTCTTGAGACCGACCTTGAAGGAGGTGAGGGAGGAAGCGAGGCGAAGGGACCGTGGGATGGAGCCTGGAACGTCTGGAACTCCATCCCCCAATCTCTCCGCCTCGCCCCCTCCTCAGCCTCCTTCGAGTCCCACCTCAAGACCCTCCTCTTCGACCATGCCATCGGTCACCCCCTCTCCCCCCCCCGACCCCAGCTCAGGTCTGCTTGGGACGTCCTCCCGACATGAAAGGCCCTACACCAATGTAATCTGGTTGTTGTTGTTGTTGTTTTTCCCTGAACGACCTTCTGGACCACACCAATCGATACCTGAACACAACCCCATTAGATTAGACTGATTAGAAACAGGAACGCTTCTCCCCCCGACTGGGGGGGGGTTCGGACTCCGCCGCCGTTCATCGGTCCGGGACCCGCCGCCCGGCGTGAGCGGCCGCTGTAAATACATAGAGGGATGTGCGAGTTGTTGTTGTTGTTGTTGTTATTTTGTTTGGATTTTGGTAAAGTCACCTCATCGACACCTGTCCCCCTCCCCCACTCCTCCCCCTCCCCCACTCCTCCCCCTCCCCCACTCCCCCCCCCACTCCCCCCTCCCCCCCCCTCCGGCTCGGAGTCGCGATCCGCCACTGCCAGGCGCTCTGGGACGCTCCCCCTTCCTGAGGGGCGCTGTATAAACACAAGTTGTTGTTGTTGTCGTCGTCGTCGTCCCGCAAACCCAGGGCGGCCCGCGGGCCACTCCTCTCTCTCTCTCTCTCACTCACTCACTCCGCTCTCTCTCTCCTCCTCCTCCTCCTCCGCGGGCCGCTCCGGGCCCGTCCCCCGTGGGCCGCAGAGCCCCAGCCTGGCCCGCAGGCCGCTCAACAAGCCTCGGGACTCTCCGGCCTCCTCCCGGGAGCCGCCGCCGCCGCCGCTGTGCGGCCTCTCCTCAGCCTGTCGCTCAGCTCTCCACTCCGCCAGCTTCCGCTCCATCTTGCGGGGCGGAAGTGTCCTTACTCCCTGGTCTCGCCCTCACTCACACTGCGGGGCGGAAGCGCCCTTACCCAGAAACCTCCCTGGTCGCTCTTTCACGCTGCCGGCGAGGCGGAAGTGTCGGAGTCCGTACCCAGAATCCTCCCCGGTCTCGCCCTCCCTCACACTGCGGGGCGGAAGTGTCGGTGTCAGTGTCCTGACCCGGACCCCTCCCTCCCCTCTCACACACACTCACTCTCTCTCTCTCTCTCTCTCTGCGGGGCGGAAGTGCCCTCTGGTCAAGAGTCTGCGGCCCACACCCAATATGGCGGGTTTGGGGCAGTTTTTTTTGGTGGTGGTGGTGGTTGTTGTTGTTGTTGGTGTTGCATTCGGCACGTCTTCGAGACGCCTCAAAGCTCCGCCCGGAACGTCCCATCGAATGACTTGACTATATTTCTGCCCCGACTTTGGGTGGGAGGGGAAAAAAATACACGGTTTGGGGCGGCGGCGGCGGCGACGGCCGTCGTCCAAATTGTTTTAAAACAAATAAATTTGAACCCTCTCCCCCCCCCCAGAATTTTTTTTATATTCCGCCTCCGCCTCCGCCGCATGAAGACCGTTTTGATCGGGGGGGGAAGAGTGCCCGGTCGGCAGCTCAGGCGGCATCTGATGGAGAGAGGAAAGTGGGTCAACATTTTGGATCCGTGACCCTTCATCAGAACTGGGGCACCGTTGGGAGGAAGAGGCTTTTAAGGGCTAACGGAGAGGTGGCGGAGGAGGGGGGGGGGGGGGCAAGGAAGACAAAGGAGACGATAGGGTAGAGGACAGGGGATGATGGGTTAAAGAGGTGTTAACGATGCACAACAAACCGGGGGTGGGGGGAAATTTGCAATTGGAAGTGCGGAGCTTAACCATCAGTTACTTGCTTCTCTGCAGGCCGATCAAGGTGGATTTCAGGCGCTGGACGTACGAATGTGCGTTCGCGAACTCGGTTTCCAGGTAGCGCCTTATAGCAGCTGAAGCCTCAAGCCTCAGAGTTTCCTCATGAACTATCTGGCGGGCAGCTGCCTTCAGTGTGGTGTGAGGACCTTTACACAACAGCTTGTGGCGTGTTAGCCACCTCAATATTGTTGAGGTCCAAGTCCAATGCCATGTACCAGGCTTACTCAGCTACGGTTGTTCAATGCAGGACAGCGGACAATTTTCACACAGCAAAAGGACCACAAACAGTCATGAAGTGAACGGCCAATTTTTTTCGATGGTTTGTTTAGTAAGGAGAAACCCCGTTCTGTTTTTGAATAGTGCCATAGGATGTTTGGCATTCCCCAGTCAAAACTCACCAAAAACATGAATTTGTCATTCATCTCATTGATGTTTTTAAGAGTACTTTGCAGGTGCAAATCACCTTTGGCATTTATTTGGATCACTTAATTTAAAAAAAGCGCAATGTGCGTGAGACAATAGTGCAGTAGTTAAAAACAAACTACTATTTTTATTACAGTTACACCTAGATTTTACACCATGTCGGTGAACTTTGCTATTTGATCACAGTACAGCTGTTAAAGGCAGAATTTTCTGTGGTACATATTGTTATCTGTGATTTATTGGTTTATTCTTCTAATTGGCTTGTGCGCATACTTCCAGCATAAAAAAGATTTGACTTTTAACTCTGTTATCATCACCTGACTCTGTTCATTTTCTTACTTTACTCTGATTCTTCTGGAGTTCACCTCGAAGCTTACCGAGTAAGAGAAGGTTGTGCCTCTCCTCAGGGTAAACCTGTTAACTTTAGGAATAATGGGCTGTGACAGCAAACATCCTAATACCAGTTGGGGACAAGATTATTCAGGATATCAATGGTTTATTGGTTTATTCTTCTAATTGGCTTCTGCACATACTTCCAGCATCAGAAGAGTTTGACTTCACTCATATCATAACAAATAAATAACCCTTGTTCTCCCCAGCTCTTCTCCCCAGTTTTGTTTCAACCCAACCCCCCTTTTGTTTTACACCACTATCACCTGTTTAATCCATCAACTAATACATTCCCTCCTTTGTCTTTTTTTTGTCTTCTTCGTTTTCCTTGTCATGCCTCCCCATCTCAACTTGTCCTTAAAAACCTCTCCCTCCCAACACGCCCCAGTTCTGATGAAGGGTCGTGGACCCGAAACATTGACTCACTTTGCTTTCCCCATAGATGCTGCCTGACCTGCTGAGTTTTCCCAGCTCTCTCTGTTTTTGTTTCATATTTCCAGCATCTGCAGTATTTTGTGTTTTGTAAATAACCCTTGTGTTTGATAGAACAGCTATAATGTGCAATGGTGCAATTAAAAGAATTAAAGGGACATAAAGGTGATACATCATTGACGGTAAGGAACAGACATTTAAACTTGAATTGATAGTTGGAAAACTGTTAGAGATCATAATTAGGCAGTTGGAGTAGGGTTGACTGGGGTATTTAGAAGGGAATTAGATGTCAGCCTAGCTAAATTATTCCACTCTCACTCCTGGGGCAGGAAGTTGTGTTAAGTCAGGCACGGGGACTTGGAGCTAATTGCCTAAGCTGATACTTCACTGCAGTGTTGGGAGAAGTGCTTCATTGTTAGAGGTTCTGTCCTTCAGATGAAACATTAAACCAATGTCCCGACCACCTGTAGTCAGCGAAGATTCCATGCCATCTGAAGAGAAAAGGGATTCTCTCCCAGTGTTCGGGGCAACATCGAATAGAATCATACCCTGAATGGTGAAATTCTCAATGGCGTATATCAACAGAGGAAATTTGAATGTGCATCAATGGTGATCTTTATACAAGATCACGAGAGATTTGGATGAAGAAGAGCCTTCAGAGCATTTGATCTCATCCCTCCAGTCTACCCACCCTACCAATCTACCTTTAACAGTATCAAGCTGTTTCTTAGATGACTCCGATGGCTTGGCATCAACCAATCTTCTTTACCCATTCCAGTCATTAATAACTACTTATTAGGTAACTATTAGCTATTGTGTAAATAAGTATGTCTGGATCTCCGCCCTGAAATTTTCCTTCAAAATCTTCAATGCCCTCATATCAAAGAATTGATTGCCCTCTTGTTCCACTGCATTGTTATGTCCAATTCTGATTAAAGCTGCAAATAATATTAACGATAAGCCCGATTCTCACACTGACTCTGCTCAGCTCTGACCTCAGCCTCACCTCACTCAGTTCTGCAATGTTTAAATTGTATTTGGACTCTAATCTATGTGAAAAAGTTTAAATTGTAGTAATAATAGTCCTTGCATTTGATTTAGCACCTTATCACATTGTTGAAACGTTTCAAATGCTTCTCAGGATTTACTATAAAGTATATTGCCTGTGTATGTGTAGGTGAACAAGGCAGCACAGCCATAGCCCACAAACAGCCATGAAGTGAATAACCAATTTGTATCTGGGGTGGTGGGGGGTGGGATTGTTGGTCAAGACCTTTGCGGGTAATCCAAATACAGGGTAAGCAAATACTGTAAACATGACCTACCTGATGGATCTCGGCATTAGATATCACTGCACAAGCAAATGGACTTCAGTAAAGCTCAAGGACACTTTAGTCTTGATCTTTGGCTTGATGTAGGGAACAATCTTTGGTCAAAGTGCATGCTGTATAATCTTCCTTTTGATTAAAGAAATAGTGGAAATTAAAATCTTGACATTGCTGTGCGCAACTGGCTGCCACGTTTCATCCACAAAATACAGTCACTCCTTTTTACAGTATATCATGTGAAGCGCTTTGAGACATCTCAATGATTTGATAAGGTGCTATATCAAATGCAAGGATTATTATTATTATTGATATAGTCCAAATTGGCTGATAGATTGCTATTTCTGACAGTTTCCCCATGAATCTTGAAATACTAGCCTCTGTAGACTAGATCCAGTTTTTGTATCTAATTTTACATCGTCAAACACAGAAATGACAGAACTCGTTTTCATTTAAAATCCTCAGTATTTTTTTTAACTCAGTTACTGAACAACTTTATTTAACTTTACCACACTTATACCTTACCACACCCAATGTCTTAGACAATAAAAAGCTATTGCCTTGTGCAAATCTGAGCGATTCACACCAGGAAGTTTCCAAATTCCAAATTCAGAAGATCTCCCTGACTTCAGCGCGATTTGGATAAGATCACTAGATTGTTCTGCACTATCAATTTCTGTTTTGGTTTTGTTGACCATGCTCCGTAGGGGCCCTCCATCTGCCGAGTTGATATCTTTTATTTTGACTTTAATACATTCAAAATGGATGTATATATTTCCATTTGAGATGATCATTATACAATATACAATATAAAACATCGGATTTCTGGAAGGGAAAAACTAAATTATTGCTTATGGGTCCTGTTTCTCAAATGTGGCATCTGGCCCTCGACACCCAAAATAATAATAATAATAATTCTTGCATTTGATATAGCGCCTTATCACGTCTTCGAGACGTCTCAAGGCGCTTCACAGAATATACTGTAAAGTGAGTTAACTGTATATTTTTGTAGGTGAAAAGGTTAGTCCACCCTGTTGTGGACCATGTCATTTCACAGTATACCAGCTGAACTCAACGTGATTGTTATGAGCTTCTTTATATTGAAACATATCCTTTTCCCCTTCAATGTTACAGGACGGCCTTGCCTATGAGAACTGGATACAAACAGGAAGTACTGTCTACAGGCAGTTTTGGCTCTTCAGTGTATTAAATCCAATGGACATTATTGATTCAGGTGCTAAACCTCAACTCGAGCAGAGAGGACCCTACACTTACAGGTAGCTGCTCTATTGTAGGCTAATTTTGAAGAAATAATAATAATAATAATGATAATAATCCTTGCATTTGATATAGTGCTTTTCATGTCTTCTAGACATCTCAAAGCGCTTCATAGAAAACACTAAGGTGAATTGACTATCTTATTGCACCATGGTAGGATCAAGCCATTCTTATGTCTGAAGGCTCTTTATCTTGATCACTGTATACACATGAGTTTTGATTACAGATTATGACCCGCAATGTACTACAAACTGTCGTGGATTGAGTGACCCAATTTTTTTTGAGGAATTATTAACCCCAGAAAGCGATCGGTAAATCGACTAACAATTGGGTTCCTAATTAATGCCAGGTAAACAGAGGAGTGTAGGTTAAGTGATTTCACCCCACCCGGGAATTGATCCTGGGTCCTCTCACTTACAAGGTGACTGTGCTAACCACTGCGCTACCTTTTTTGATCAGCCGAGTGTGACCCATCACATTTGTGACCCATCACCTCGCTTAAGAGCATCTAAACCAAGCTGCCATGCGTGCCACCTGCACAAAGAAATTCCCATATTGTTGGAATGAAGTGGGCACATTCTCCACAGAACGACTCTTCCTGATTACCTAATTCCAGAGTATTAGGTGCAGGTTGGCAAGAGGCACGGCTTGGGGACCCCAGAGTTTGCGTTTGGGTACTGTTGGAGTCTAACCAGGTAAAATTGCATTGCTTGAAAACTTCCCGCTGCTTATCCAGCTATGACCACCTTTAGGGCTTTGTTCTGTGGCACTCATGACCTAAATACACATGGCAGGAGGTATTGCGTTCACTGAACGTTCCTTTCTCATTCATTATCGGATCCATCCAACCCACTGATTGCTTGGAACACCTTTACAGAATTTATGCCTCATCTTATCTGAGAGACCAGATTATGTCCATTTGGGGTGAAGAATTTGGTATGCGTTGTGCTAATTATCACGAGTGGATATTTTTCACGTTCACTGCTGACAACTCGACTTTGCTTCAATTCTCCATCGACCTGACATATTTATATTTACAACTGAGGCCTTCCAGTCTCACTGAACAGAATACTGGCATAACTCATATCTGAGTTTGCTTTACATGGGCTCTCAGAGTGTGTTTATTGAAGACCACATTCTGTGAAGGGTTTTCCAAGTAGTAAAATATGTCAGAACTTCTATTTTCAAAGCCTCTAGATTATGAGGAATGGAAGGCTGCAGGGATTACCATTGGCCAAATATGAAGAGCCTAATATGCAAAATCTACTTAAATTTTTCAACAGGATTCCTTATTTCAGCACTGATATTAATCTTTCCCTTGCATCTCCAATGTTAACAGACAAGTACTGTACTAAGTGGGATCTCACACACTGGAGAAAAGGAGTGACAATGAGTTAATGTTTCAGTTCATTCATCTAACTTTAAAAATAATTTTGGCAAATTTTTGCTTTGGTGCCGCCTGTGGGGTCTCCTCATTTATGAGGATATTGGTACAGTCTGGGGACCACCCCCTTGTGGTAGTCCTGTAGCTCAGTGGTTAGAGCACTCGCTTTGCAAGTGAGAGACCTGAGTTCAATTCCCGGCAGAGGGCGAAACCTTGGGCAAGTTTCCTTACTCCACACAGAGCCTAATAATAATCCCTCCAAAAACCAAAAACAATAATAAATTGGTCATTTTCAATCCACGACTGTTTGTGGGACATTGCTGTGCGCAATTGGCTGCCGCGTTCGCACACAAATATACAGTCAATTCACTTTACAGTGTGTTCTGTGAAGCGCTTTGGGACGTCCTCCCGACGTGAAAAGCGCTATATCAAATGCAAGGATTATTATTATTATTATTATTATATTCTGTGAAACGCTTTGGGACGTCTAGAAGACGTGAAAAGCGCTTTATCAAATGCAAGGATTATTATTATTATTAGTTCAGCTGGGGAATATTTAAGGTCTTGCACAATCTCAGTAGGAGACGTCTTATCAGAAGCAAGGGGATTAGCCCCTCATGCCTGTTCAAACTGAGTTAAAATAAACACTATAAACTTTTACTTGATGTGTGAATTAATTCCTTGTACTACTATGGTCTTGAACATAAAACCCTTCCCTCACTTGGGAGAAACGTTATACGACATTGCTGTAACTTACTACGAGACTGTGTGACACGCTTTGATTTCCATTCTTTAATCTTCTACATAATTCTATGTAAGTTAAATGATGGTGTCCAGTTGCAGAGTGGTATTTATTATTCCCTGTTGCATTGGTTGATGCTCTTAGAAAAATCAAGAACAATAATAATAATCCTTGTATTTGATCACTAATATCGAGTTTTAAAGAGATTTTTATCATGTTTTCGACTGGAAAAATAGCCAACTTCTGTTCATCAGATTGCCATGGACGTCACTTCCTTGACATGCAACATACAGACAATGATATCTTTTGCGAGTTACCTGCACCTCGCTCTGTAATTCCATCCTAGAGTCTCCAACTCCCTCCCTCCCCTCGTTCAAGGTTCATCTCAAGACCTATCTGTTTGAACTTGCATCATCATTCCCCTCTATGTCCCCTCCAGCGCCTTGGGACGTCCTCCCGACGTGAAAGGCGCTCTATAAATGGAATGTTGTTGTTGTTGTGGTTGTATGTCCCCCTCGGCGCCCACCCTCAGCTCAGGCCAGGTTTGTGAAGTGCCTTGGGACATCCTCACAACGTGAAAGGCGCTATATAAATGTAAATTTGTATTGTATTGTGGATGCAAACAAAACATCAGGACTTTTGAACTCACATCATCTATTCTGACGCTGCAATGTCAGATGTCTGTTCAGTGAGATGTTAAAATTCCATTGAAAAGAGAAGGCAGTTTCTCCCAGTTTCTTGGCCAACAATCCCACAAATAAAATTGGTTATTGGCTTCACTACTGTTTGTGCAACATTGCAGTGTGCAAATTGGTTACTGCTTTTACTTTTAAAATACAGGCACTACATTTTCCAATGAATTCTTGTAAAGCACTTTGAGACTTTCCTCTGACAGGAAAAGCTTTTTCTTATTCTAGCATATGTGATAATGCTCCTTTTTGTTCTTACCAGAAATCTTCTCTTCCGGAACAATACTTACTGTGACATGATAAACGGGACAGGTACCCTTGGTGCTTAATAATTTAATACACCCTCGTGCCATCAAAAATATTACCAAAACCGAGGAGGACAGGGCTCAGAAGAACAAGTAGAACAACAACAACTTGCATTTATATAGCATCCTTCACACAGGGAGGGTAGTGTCTCAGAGCACTTAACAATGGCTGAGGTTTACTCTGAGCTGGGAAGAAAAGGGAGGTGACCACAGGGACGATCATAGAGGAAGGTTTTCATAGGCGATCTGAAGACTGGCAAAGAGGAGCAATGTGGAGGGATTGAGCCAGGGTGCTTGAGAGTTTCAGGGCATAGTGCCTGAAAGAACAGCTGCCCTTAGTGGAGTGTAGGGGATGAGAGACGAACGGAAGGCTGGAAACAAAAACAGATGTCGCCGGGAACACTCAGCAGGTCAGGCAGGATCTATGGAGAAAGGTAAGTGGGTCAACATTTTGGATCTATGACCCTTCATCAGAACTCGGGCATGTTGGGCGGAAGAGGCTTTTAAGGGCTAACAAAGAGGTGGGAGGGGGAAGGAAGACAAAGGAGATGATAGGGTATAGGACAGGGGATGATGAGTTAAAGAGGGTTAACGATGCACAACAAACCGGGGGTGGGGGGGAATTTGCAATTGGAAGTGCGGAGCTTAACCAGCAGTTACTTGCTTCTCTGCAGGCCGATCAGGGTGGATTCCAGGCGCTGGACGTATGAATGTGCGTTCGCGAACTCGGTTTCCAGGTAGCGCCTTATAGCAGCTGAAGCCTCAAGCCTCAGAGTTTCCTCATGAACTATCTGGCGGGCAGCTGCCTTCAGTGTGGTGTGAGGACCTTTACACAACAGCTTGTGGCGTGTTAGCCACCTCAATATTGTTGAGGTCTAAGTCCAATGCCATGTACCAGACTTACTCAGCTACAGTTGTTCAATGCAGGACAGCAGACAATTTTCACATAGCAAAATTCCCACAAACAGTCATGAAGCGAACGACCAATTTTTTTCGATGGTTTGTTTAGTAAGGAGAAACCCCGTTCTGTTTTCGAATAGTGCCATGGGATGTTTGGCATTCCCCAGTCAAAACTCACCAAAAACATGAATTTGTAGCTTGGGGTACATTGCGGGTGCAAATCAGCTTTAGCATTTATTTGCATCACTTAATTTAAAAGAAAATGTGCTGTGTGCATGTGACAATAGTGCAGTGCAATAAAGCACTAGTTAAAAGCAAGCTTTACTATTATTACAGTTACACATAGATTTTACAGAGGGAGACCATGTTGGTGAACTTTGCTATTTGATCACAGTACAGCTGTTAAAGGCAGAATTTTCTGTGGCACCGGGTACATATTGTTATCTGTGATTTATTGGTTTATTCTTCTAATTAGCTTCTGCGCATACTTCCAGCATCAAAAAAGATTGACTTTTAACTCTGTTATCATCACCTGACTCTGCTCATTTTCTTACTTTGCTCTGATTCCTCTTGCGTTCACCTCGAAGCTTACCGAGTAAGAGAAGGTTGTGCCTCTCCTCAGGGTAAACCTGTTAACTTTAGGAATAATGGGCTGTGACAAGAAACATGTCTTCATTGCTGGAGTGGTTATTGGCGCATTGTTGCTAATATTAGGAGGTATCCTAATACCAGTTGGGGACAAGATTATTCAGGATACTATAACGAAGGTACAACTCTTTTAATATGATTTTCCTATTATTTGAACATGAATTGTGCTGAATCTTAATACATACATGTGGACATTTGTATTTTGAAACATGTTAACATTGCGAAATTGTACTGTTTGGCACTTATAATAATGAAAAATAAATAACCCTTGCATTTGATAGAGCAGCTATAATATCAACACATTGCCATGTGCAAATATTGGAGCTACAGACACTAGATATGAAGTCTAACAATGCAATGGTGCAATTAAAAGAATAAAAGGGACATAATGGTGATACATCATTGATGGTAAGGAACAGACCATTTAGACTTGAATTGATAATTGGAAAACTGTTAGAGATCATAATTAGGCAGTTGGGGTAGGGTTGACTGGGGCATTTAGAAGGGAATTAGATAATAATAATAATAATTATAATCCTTGCATTTGACATAGCGCTTTTCACGTCGGGAGGACGTCCCATAGCGCTTCACAGTATATACTGTAAAGTGAATTGACTGTATATTTGTGGACGAACGCGGCAGCCAATTGCGCACAGCAATGTCCCACAAACAGTCATGGATTGAAAATGACCAATTTATTATTGTGATGTGAGCCTAGCTAAGTTATTCCACTCTCACTCCTGGGGCAGGAAGTTGTGTTAAGTCAGGCACGGGGACTTGGAGCTAATTGTCTATGCTGATACTTCACTGCAGTGTGGGAGAAGTGCTTCATTGTTAGAGATTCTGTCCTTCAGATGAAACATTAAACCAATGTCCCGTCCGCCTTCAGCACATTTGATCTCATCCCTCCAGTCTACCCACCCTACCAATCTACCTTTTACAGTATCAAGCTGTTTCCTCTGACTTGGCATCAAGCAATATTCTTCACCCATTCCAGTCATTAATAACTAAGTATTATATAGCTATTGTGTAAATAATAGTTAATATTATAGTTAATTATTCTAATGCATCTCTGCCCTGAAATTTTCCTTCAAAATCTTCAATGCCCTCATATCAAAGAACCGATTGCCCTCTTGTTCCACTGTATTGTTATGTACAATTCTGATTACCGCTGCTAATAATATTAATGATAAGCCCGATTCCCACACTGACTCCGCTCTGACACTGACTCACCTCACTCAGTTCTGCAAGGTTTAAATTGTAGTTGGACTCTAATCTATATAAAAAAAGCTACAATTCTTCTCCCCAAAAAAGTAACCCTGCACTATAAGCCTCATAGATATACAACAGGATCAGAGAAATTTCATGGGTAATTTACATTTAATAATAGTCCTTGCATTTAATTTAGCACCTTATCACATTGTTGAAACGTCTCAAATGCTTCTCAGGATTTAATATAAAGTATATTGCCTGTGTATGTGTAGGTGAACAAGGCAGCACAGCAATAGCCCACAAACAGCCATGAAGTGAATAACCAATTTGTATCTGGGGTGGTGGGGGGTGGGATTGTTGGTCAAGACCTTTGCGGGTACTCCAAATACAGGGTAAGCAAATACTGTAAACATGACCTACCTGATGGATCTCGGCATTAGATATCACTGCACAAGCAAATGGACTTCAGTAAAGCTCAAGGACACTTTAGTCTTGATCTTTGGCTTGATGTAGGGAACAATCTTTGGTCAAAGTGCATGCTGTATAATCTTCCTTTTGATTAAAGAAATAGTGGAAATTAAAATCTTGACATTGCTGTGCGCAACTGGCTGCCACGTTTCATCCACAAAATACAGTCACTCCTTTTTACAATATATCATGTGAAGCGCTTTGAGACATCTCAATGATGTGATAAGGTGCTATAATGGATCCAGTTTTTGTATGTAATTTTACATCATCAAACACAGAAATGACAGAACTCGTTTTCATTTAAAATCCTCAGTTTTTTTTAACTCAGTTACTGAATAACTTTAACTTTACCACACTTATACATTACCACACCCTATGTCTTAGACAATAAAAAGCTATTGCCTTGTACAAATCTGAGTGACTCACACCCAGAAAATTCCAAATTCAGAAGATCTCCCTGACAATATAAATCATAGGATTTCTGTATGATTCTTTTATGGTTCTGGAAGGGAAAAACTAAATTATTGCTTATGGATCCCGCTTCTCAAATGTGGCATCGGGCTCTCGACACCCAAAATAATAATAATAATAGTTCTTGCATTTGATATAGCGCCTTATCACGTCTTCGAGACATCTCAAGGCGCTTCACAAAATGTACTGTAAAGTGAGTTGACTGTATATTTTTGTAGGTGAGAAGGTTAGTCCACCCTGTTGTGGACCATGTCATTTCACAGTATACCAGCTGAACTCAACTTGATTGTTATGAGCTTCTTTATATTGAAACATATCCTTTTCCCCTTCAATGTTACAGGACGGTGTTATTGAAGAAGGTACCCTTGCCTATGAGAACTGGATACAAACAGGAAGTACTGTCTACAGGCAGTTTTGGCTCTTCAATGTATTAAATCCAATGGATATTATTGATTCAGGTGCTAAACCTCAACTCGAGCAGAGAGGACCCTACACCTACAGGTAGCTGCTCTATTGTAGGCTAATTTTGAAATTATAATAATAATAATGATAATAATCCTTGTATTTGATATATTGCTTTTCACGTCTTCTAGACATCTCAAAGCGCTTCACAGAAAACACTAAAGTGAATTGACTATATTTGTGGGCAAGGTGAGGAAAATCGTTTGTTGGGTGAAAATCAATTATTGCAAACTATCTTACTGCACCATGGTTGGATCAATGTCTGAAGGCTCTTTATCTTGATCACTGTACACATGAGTTCTGATTCAGATTGCGCCCAGCAATGTCCTCCAAACAGTCATGGATTGAGTGACCCGATTTTTTTGAGGGATTATTACCCCCAGAAAGTGATCGGTCAGTCGACTAACAACCGGGTTCCCACTTAGTAAACGGAGAGTGTGAGTTAAGTGAACTTGCCTAAGGTTTCACCCCGCCCGGGAACCGAACCCGGGTCTTCTCACTTACAAGGTGAGCGTGCTAACCACTACGCTTGGGGACTCCACAATCTTCACCTGAATCTGTCTTGGGATCTTGTGATCCACGAAACCAATTCTTTCATCTTTTGATGAGTAGAATAATTTGGACTCATTTAAGAAATAGTTTTTAATCCCATGATAGGAAGTCGGTGGGTGTGATATTCTGGAAGAAGAGAACAAATGTTTGAAAAGCTTTCTAAATCAAATGAGGGGAGTTTCTCCCGGTGCCTGGCCAACAATCCCCTAGATAAAATTAAGTCATTCACTTCATGGTTGCTATGTTCATCTACAAAACGTATGGCCCTTACAATTTACAGTAAATCCTGTGAAGAGGTTTGAGACTTGGGATGTGCTTCCGATATGAAAAGTGTTTTACAAGTGTAAGTTGTTGTTGTTGAGGTGTCCTTCAAATTTGAAATATGTGTTTAATATGTATTTAATATGTATTTAAATGCAAGAATTATTACAGTATTATTGTTTGACTTCCAGGGCATATCTTTCCTAAATATCAACCCGGCCTTGCTAATCTTTTGACCCCTAGCTACTAATCCACATCAGTTTGTATGAATTTTCTGGTTTGGCCTCCTCCACCACACCACAACAAGACCGCAAAAAAGTGGCATCAGGATAGTGCCTCATTTCTTAGCTGCAATATTGCAGCACTTGAAACTTGGCAGGAAGAATGATCTCAATAAATGCACTTTATCATTGTGTTTTATGGTCCAAGCTTGTTATCTTGTTTATCTCCATGGAAACGTTTGCTTAATCAGTTTCGTAACGATGTGAAATTAAACCAATAATGTACTTACCATATGGTAAAACAAATTTTAAGGAATACAAATACGTTAGATTTTTGTATTTTTAATTTTTTCAGAAAGGAATTGGTTTGGTGTTCAATGTTATTATTCTGGACATCGTTGCTAAATGCAATGGACACTGTTCTGTTATTCATTCTGTAGGGTTCGTTATCTCAGAAAGAACAACATTACCGTGAATGACAATTACACAATATCGTACCTGCAGCCCCAGTCAGCTATCTTTGAACCCACCATGTCAGTTGGCTCAGAAGAGGACAGTATCACAGCTCTCAACCTTGCTGCTGCAGTAAGCAATCATAACATTTGTCGAGAACCTTTATTTAAATTATTAATGAAATATTAAATTGATATATTAAATATTATATACAGTTCTAGTCACTGCGATATGATGGCCCAGGCCTTAGAGGTCTCGGAGCACTTAACAGTGCTGGAGCCTGACACTGAGCCGTGGGGAGCATAAGCACGGTCGAAGAGGAATGTCTTCAGTCGTGATCTAAGAGAGGTGAAGGAGGGGGCAAGGCAATGGGATTGAGGGAGAGAGTTCCAAAACTTTGTGGCGTAGTGGCTGAAAGCATGGCTGCTGATGGTGAGTGTGAAGTGGATGAGCAGGAGGCCAGAGCCAGCTGAGTGGAGGCAGCGGGTAATGGGGTGGGGTTTAACCAGGTCAGAAAGACGGGGTGATCCCAGATCGTGAAGGGATTTGTAAACAATTGTATTTCGAATCAATTGGTGACAACAAATAGATTCACGGGTATCTCAGTGTTCTCTGAAAATTAAAATGTTCCTTTTTCCTTTCATAGTCTGCACCATCTCTTTACCCCCCAATTCTTCATGGCATAGTCAATGGCATCATTAAAAAGGCAGGTGCCTCATTGTTCCAGAATAGAACAGTGAAGGAAATACTTTGGGGCTACGAAGATCCAATACTGGTTGCAGCAAGTTCAGAAGATATCATTACAGGAGTATTTTACCCAGTAAGTATCATATATATATATACACACTGGCAATGTTATTCAGAGACCGTGTCCAACTTTTATCTGAACTACTGTTTAACTGGAACTATATGAAGGAACCCAGAACGTTTTATTTTTAGACCTGTTCAGATTTGAGATCTGCGGCACTTTTATTGATCAGCTGAGCGTGTGACACATTTGTGACCCGTCACCACGCTTAAGAGTATCTAAACCAAGCTGCCATGAGTGCCACCTGCACAAAGAAATTCCCATATTGTTGGAATGAAGTGGGCACATTCTCCACAGAACGATTGTTCCTGATTACCTAATTCCAGAGTATTAGGTGCAGATTGGCAAGAGGCACGGCTTGGGGACCCCAGAGTTTGCGTTTGGGTACTGTTGGAGTCTAACCAGGTAAAATTGCATTGCTTGCAAACTTCCCGCTGCTTATCCAGCTATGACCACCTTACCCTTTAGGGCTTTGTTCCTTTCTCATTCATTATCGGATCCATCCAACCCACTGATTGCTTGGAACACACTTTACAGAATTTACACCTCGTCTTATCCGAGAGACCATATTATGTCCATCTGGGGTGAAGAATATGGTATGTGTTGTGCTAATTATCACCAGTGGATATTTTTCATGTCATATTTATACCTACTAATTGTGATTGAGGCCTTCCAGTCTCACTGAACAGATACTGGAATAACTCATATCTGAGTTTGCTTTACATGGGCTCTCAGAGTGTGTTTATTGAAGACCACATTCTGTGAAGGGCTTTCCAAGCAGTAATATAGGTTATCAGAACTTCTATTTTCAATGCCTCTAGATTATGAGGAATGGAAGGCTGCAGGGATTACCATTGGCCAAATATGAAGAGCCTAATATGCAAAATCTACTTAAATTTTTCAACAGGATTCCTTATTTCAGCACTGATATTAATCTTTCCCTTGCATCTCCAATGTTAACAGACAAGTACTGTACTAAGTGGGATCTCACACACTGGAGAAAAGGAGTGACAATGAGTTAATGTTTCAGTTAATAATAATAATCCTTGCATTTGATATAGCGCTTTTCACGTCGGGAGGACGTCCCAAAGCGCTTCACAGAACATACTGTAAAGTGAATTGACTGTATATTTGTGGGCAAACGCGGCAGCCAATTGCGCACAGCAATGTCCCACAAACAGTCGTAGATTGAAAATGACCAATTTATTATTGTTTTTGGTTTTGGAGGGATTATTATTAGGCTCTGTGTGGAGTAAGGAAACTTGCCCAAGGTTTTGCCCTCTGCCTGGAATTGAACTCAGGTCTCTCACTTGCAAAGCGAGTGCTCTAACCACTGAGCTACAGGACTCCAGTTCATTCATCTAACTTTAAAAATAATTTTGGCAAATGTTTGCTTTGGTCCCGCCTGTGGGGACTCCTCATTTATAAGGATATTGGTACAGTCTGGGGAACACCCCCTTGTGGTAGTTCAACTGGGGACTATTTAAGATCTTGCACAATCTCAGTAGGGGGTGTCTCATCAGAAGCAAGGGGGTTAGCCCCTCATGCCTGTTCAACCTGAGTTAAAATAAACACTATAAACTTTTATTTGGTGTGTGAATTAATTCCTTGTACCACTATGGTCATGAACATAAACCCTTCCCTCACTTGGGAGAAACGTCATACGACATTGCTGTAAGTTACTACGAGACTATGTGACACGCTTTGACTTGTGCCTTTTTTCCAGTACAATGGAACAGCAGATGGATTTTATAACGTGTTCAATGGAAAAGACGACATTGACAAAGTTGCTCTAATTGACCGTTGGAGGAACGAAAAGTAAGATTCTTTTCAGAATAGGGCGACATCCCTCAACCCTTTTCTTTGAGAATTACTTAAGAAAGGTTTATTTAATTGCAATCTCATGCCATACATGAGGGAGAAGAGATGGAGGGGATTAGGAGGGATGGAGACTCATATGGAGTATTAACACCAGCATAGATGAGTTATGGTCAATGGCCTGTTTCCATTCTTTAATCTTCTACATAATTCTATGTAAATTAAATGATGGTGTCCAGTTGCAGAGTGGTATTTATTACTCCGTATTGCATTGGTTGAGGCTCTTAGAAAAATCAAGAACAATAATAATAATCCTTGTATTTGATCACTAATATCAAGTCTTAAAGAGATTATTATCATATTTTGGACTGCAAAAATAGTCAACTTCTGCTCATCAGATTGTCATGGATGTCACTTCCTTGACAGTACGCTTGCATGCAACATACAGACAATGATATCTTTTGCGACCCTATCTGCCGCTCCTTCTGTAATTCCATCCTAGAGTCCCTCCCTCCCTCCCTCCGTCACCTCGTTCAAGGTTCACCTCAAAACCTATCTGTTTGACCCCACTTCCAGTCATCATTCCCCTCTATGTCCACCCTCAGCTCAGGCCAGGTTTGTGAAGTGCCTTGGGACATCCTCGCGACTTGAAAGGCGCTATATAAATGTAAATTTGTATTGTATTGTGGATGCAAATAACACATCGGGACTTTTGAACTCACATCATTTATGCTGACACTTCAGTGTCAGACTGGCAGGCTGATGTCAGCGAGATGTTAAAGATTCCATTGAAAAGAGAAGGCAGTTTCTCCCAGTTTCTTGGCCAACAATCCCCCAAATAAAATTGGTCATTGGCTTCACTACTGTTTGTGCAACATTGCAGTGTGCAAATTGGTTACTGCTTTTACCTTCAAAATATAGGCACTACATATTCCAGTGAATTCTTGTAAAGCACTTTGAGACATCCCTCTGAGTTGAAAGGCGCTACATCCAATGCAAGGATTATTACATTTAAATTCTGATGGTGAACGTTTTGTGCAGTTCAATTTGCATTTGGATTAAAAGGGAAATATTACATTCCTCCTGTTCATAGTCTAATGAGATAAATGGGTCTAGCTTTTTCTTATTCTAGCATATGTGATAATGCTCCTTTTTGTTCTTTCCAGAAATCTCCCCTTCTGGAACGATGCTTACTGTGACATGATCAATGGGACAGGTACCCTTGGTGCTTAATAATTTAACACACCCTCGTGCCATCAAAAATATTACCAAAACCAGGAGGGCAGGGCTCAGAAGAACAAGTAGAACAACAACAACTTGCATTTATATACCGTCCTTCACACAGGGAGGGTAGTGTCTCAGGGACGGTGATAGAGAAAGGTTTTCATGTACGATCTGAAGACTGGCAAAGAGGGAGCAATGTGGAGGGATTGAGGCAGGGAGCTTAAGAGTTTCAGGGCATAGTGCCTGAAAGAATGGCTGCTGTTAGTGGAGTGCAGGGGGTGAGGGACATACAGAAGGCTGGAGCTGGTTGAAGGAAGAGGGTTGGTAGAAGAGTGGGGTGTTAACAGGTTTGAGAGATAGAGAGGTACTAGGGCACGAAGTGATGTGCAGGTGAGTGTGAGGATCATAAAATTGATCCGTTCTGCAACAGGGAGCCAATGGAGCTTAGCAAGAACTGGAAATAGAATAGATAGCTGTAATAGGCAACCTAGCATCAGCACAAGGATGGTCCAAATGGCTTCCTGTGAAAATGTGAGAATAGATACATAGACAGATAGTCCCAGATTCGATTACATCCATGTCTGGGATAATTCCCCACATTCCACCCCCAACTACATTTCTCTCCTGCTTCCGCCACTCAAAAACCTCTTCCCCCACTAGTGACAATAAGAGAGACTTCAGTGTGTCTTGTTACAAGCTGTATGTGTGTAGGGGGAGAAGGGGAAGTGATGGTGTCTGACATTTTTAACTTATTTACAATGTTTGTTTCATGTTTTGATTTGTATCCTCAAAACAGATGGAAGCTCGTTCCCACCTTTTATCGACAAGAAAGACTTATATTTCTTTTCTTCTGATATTTGCAGGTAATGCACCATGGAAAATACACACAACTCATGCACATATTTACTGATAATTAAGGACATTCTGTATAGACGCAGAATATGCTATTTCTAATGTGTCTGAAAAGTATCTCTAAAACTGGTCAGGCCTCAGTTATATTCTGACAGTTTGTTAATGACATGAGGCAAGACCTCATCTTTGGTGTCCATGAAGCAGGAACTGGGCATGTTCAACATTCAGAAGGAAACCCATCACCGTGCTTAAGAGTCTCCAAAGATTCCAGCTGTATGGTTCTTGTTAATAATATCTTTAAAATCCTACGTGCATTCTTAGGGAGACTAAGCTCTTGCCCAGTACTGTAACCAGCTTTCTGTTCCCTTATTCAACTTATTAAACTTAAATACAAGTGATTGTATTTTTCTTTTAAAGCCCGTCTTGAAAAGATGCCACAGTGATTTGATTGCTTCTATTGGAAGAAGATACTGAAAACAATTGCAAATGGTCCCTCCAGATCTGACCCAGTAAAAAATAAAATGCTGATGACTACAAATCACCAGGAATATGATGACTAAGTAGAAATAGTAACTGCTGGGTCTAATTTGTGTTTCTTTTTAAGAAGAAAGGTATTATTGTCACATATCCAAACAAAACGTGTTTCTTTTGCACATTCAATCTTTTGGAAATTCAATGTTATTTTGCCTTGAAGTGTCATTTACAGTAGTAAAGCAAGTTAATGTTTGTTTTACACCTTCTGTTCATTGTTAAAACTCGCATATAAAAATATGCTACGTGCCAGATCCAATATCCAATGTTGTATCTGCTAATGTAATTAAAGAGCTGCCGTGTGGCCAACTCTTTAATAACATTAAAAACAATGTTCCCTTGAAAGTTCTTTAGCTGTTCCATGTTTCTACTCCTCCCCAAAAACTTTCAAAGGTTAATTTCTTACAGATTCCACATTGGTTTTCACTGACAGAGCTCACACAACAGTCAATCAATGTGCTGATTGAAAACAGCTCCTCAAAAGCATTTTGACGGCCAAGCTGCTGCATGATCTGTGCTCTCAGTCCTGATTTACACAATGCTTTTCAGTGAATAGCAATAAAAAACACAGTATAAACGTGGTGGGGGGGCATAAAGCAACAGAAATGGTTACATTGCAGAATGAAATGGTTTGCAAAACTGGCCTTAAATTTTCAGAACGCGGGATTGAATTTAGTGTAGATTGACGAGATGAAATAAATAAATGAATAATGATAATTTGGTCAATCAATCCACAATTGTTTGTGGGACACCTCTGTGTGCAATTGGCTGCCGCGTTTCAACCATAAAGTACAGTCACTTCACTTTACAGTATATTCTGTGTAACACTCAATTTGAGACATCTCAACGACTTGATGAGGCCCTATATCAAATGCAGAGATAATTATTGTTATTTATATCATGAATATCTTTTCTCTCCAGTGTTTCGGACAGTACCAATCAATATGTTTCCCAATGAACAAACGTGCCTACAGTATGATATCAAGTTAGTTCATGCAAGGGAGAAAATAGGTGTAGGACATTGTAAATGATGCACTGGGGATAAAGAACATGTTTATCATCTTGAAGGACTTTCAAACTACATACAAGTATTGAATAAAGAACATGGAAGCTGCTTCTGTTAACAGCAAATCACTTATATTTTCCATGAGGTTTGTGATCTTCCTCAGAGAATTGGCACAGATTAGAAAGAGCCAAAGCTTGGGGAACCCTTGGGTGTGCATTGAGGAACTGCCAGAGTTAAACTAGCTAAAACCACATAGCTTGCCGTTGGGAGCACTGTCTGGCAAATGTCCTGCTGTTTGTCCAGCTAGGACAACCCTATCTGTTAGGGCTTTGGTTTGCAGGGTTAGCAGGAGCCAAGTGGGAAGAATCTCCACTCCCAGTCTTGTGACCTGTCCGTTCAAGTTTTGCTGATACGTCAGCCTATTGAGTGATGGTTTCACCAGTTGGAGGTGCAGAGCTTGAGCTTTGAAAAGTAACAACAAATGTATGGGAATGAAAGGGATTTAGGGTTTCTAGAGGAAGAATACAGATCTGCTGGATGAGAATTGTTGATAGCAGAGCCCAAGTAATGGTTAACCGGAAGATAACTAATTTTGACTGATTCCCTTCTGTTCAGGTCTATCTTTGCAAAGTATGAAGGAACACAAAAGCTGAAGGGAATTCCTGTCCAGCGTTTTGCAGTTCCTCCTGAAGCTCTCGCTTCTCCAAGAGAAAATCCTGACAACCACTGCTTCTGCAAGGAAGATATTGTTTCGCAAAATTGCACTCTTGGTGGTTTCTTGGATATCAGTGCCTGTCATGATGGTAAGTACTTTGATGTCTTGAATAAAAATCAAATGCATGTCAGTTTGGAGTCAAAACCCATTGTGTTGATTCATTCCAAGAATTACAAAATATCATAAGTTGTGTAAGCTTAGCTTAGTTGATAGCACTCTCGCTTCTATTAATACTGCTAATAATCATAATCCTTGCATTTGATATGGTGCCTTATCACGTCTTTGAGACGTCTCAAAGCGCTTCACACAATATGACTATATTTTGTGGGCGAAATGCGGCAGCCAATTGCACACAGCATGAAATTACAACTTTGATACCATCCTGTGATCCTGAAGTACTTCTTAAGTAATAATCTCCACTGTAATTCACCACTGCTCAGTTGTTACTTGAGAGTCCTGTAGCTCAGTGGTTAGAGCACTCACCTCGCAAGCGAGAGACCTGGGTTCGATTCCCGGCAGGGCGAAACCTTGGGTAAGTTTCCATACTCCACACGCCTGATATTAATCCCTGAAGAAAAAAAATAATAATAAATTGGTCATTTCAATCCACGACTGTTTGTGGGACACTGCTGTGCGCAATTGGCTGCCGCGTTTCGCCCCCAAATATACAGTCAGTTAACTTTACGGTATATTCTGTGAAGCGCTTTGAGACGTCTGGAAGACATGAAAACGCGCTATATCAAATGCAAGGATTATTATTATTACTTGTGTGTAATAGTGTGATTTCAATTTCAGGGAAACCCGTTTATATCTCACTCCCTCACTTCCTGTATGCAAGTCCTGAAATACAGAAATCTATGCAGGGCCTGAATCCGAAAAAGGCAATACATGAGACCTTTATGGATGTGGAACCTGTAAGTGATAACAATATTCTCTACCTTTTTACCTTTCCTCATCTCAACTACACATCCACACTAGGTGGGTGATTTCTAGCACTGAGACTCAGAAATTGCTTTCACTCAAGTGTTGAAGAAGAGAAGTTAGCTCCAGAGGTGCATTACTCACATTTTCCCCGTTCCTGCTCAATGTTGGACTCAATGTCAATTCCGTGTGCCTTTCCTTGTCTTGGTTTCCATTGATGTGGCACATATTAGTGATTTGCAGGCTAGTGCAGTATACCCCATTATAACGCAATTGGTCACAATGTGGATTGGCTTACAGTGCAAATGCTTATAGTGCCCTTTCACCGTATGGTCTTGCATCCGGTTACCAGCATCCAGGTCATGAGGTTGCTGCCTTCGTCACTTCATGTGCGCTGTGATTCAAGTGACATCGACAGTGACCTTATGATCTTGAAAGTGGTCATTTTAGCTTCGAGGACACTAAAAACATCCAGCTTGCAGGTCATGAAGTTAGCATTGATATCGCTTACTGCGTGCTGCGCATGTGCATCTCATGGGAAGGGACATTAGTGACAGCCTCATGACCCAGAAGTCGATCATTTTATAGCATGAGGGAGCCAGCAGGCATGCAAGATGGCTGAGTGTGCAGCCACAGTAAAACTGACAATGTGTCCCTGTTACAATTTGTGTTGGGATTTTTTGGATCATGTTATAACAGACTCTACACTGTCACATCAAAGAAGAGCTCTGCTGTGCCACCGTTTGATGTTTTACACCTGCGAGTAATTGTGGAGTATTGGCTTCTTGTATTCTCTTGTAGAGATCTCTTGGACTCTAGTCCTGCTTGTAACTGCATGACATGTCAACGGTGGAGTCTAATATGTGATATAGTACAGAATGTAGTTTGGGACATAATGAGTCCATGAGACTGCCAGGATGGTGGAATGCAAACTAGATGGACCTTGGTTTTCTTTCCTTTAGCAATTCTTATGTTCTTATGTGACAATTTCGTTTTTTCAGTACTTGGTTTTCAAAATTGGACTACATTTAAAAAAAAATTCTAGAATTGTACATAATCTTAAATTCTAAAACTACAGCTTTAAGCCGAGGAATATGAGAAATTTTGTATTCCAGAAAATCGCAGGATTCTGCAATGATGGGTATGTCAATAAGGCAGTTTACCATATAGTTAAAGAAGAGTTGAGAGTGTGTTTACATGACCAGCTGTCCCATTTACGCCATTATATATCAGGAGAGATTCAACCCAATTCCTCTAGATAAAGATCTTCTCAATTTCTTTCTTGCAGACCACAGGATTTACCTTGAGAGTTGCAAAGCGGCTACAAATCAACATAATGTTTAAGCCATCAACCAAAATTAAGTAAGTTGGCTTTTTTAGTCACTTTTTTCTTCACGACTGTTTGCGGGACATGGCTGTGTCCAAAATACACAGTCACTCCATTTTACAATATATTCTATGAAGCACTTTGAGACATCGCAACAACAAGGTGCTATATCCAAATGCAAAGATTATTATGATTATTATTATCACATTCTCAAATGTTGTCGAGTTACTGTCCAAAGCTTATAATTTCCGTGAAAGAAATATAAAATTAGATAAATTCCTGCAAATTGCAACTGTTCAGTAAATATTATATCACTAGTGAATTAATGTTTTTCAATCTGCTAATTCTTTTCTGACAGAAAGGTGCTTGTCTATTGAAAGTGTGCCCGTTGTACTTTGCAAATAAAATGACCCCTTTTTCTTTCTGCAGAATACTGTCAAATATCAAGGAGCCACTCATTTTTCCAGTCCTATGGCTCAATGAGGTAAGAGAACAATTCTGCATCACGTTGCAATGGCCACTGGCTCCTCCACTGACATTGATCGCTATCAATTCACATCTGTCCAGGTGTGTAACAACCCTTTGCCCACTCGCTTCAGGGTGTAATGATTCCTTAAAAAAATTGGTCACTCAATCCATGACTGAATGACTGAAAACATTGACAGTCTCGCCCTCACTGAAACCTGGATCATTCCAGGCGACACCTTCCCCCTGACAAAGGCCACACCACCCAGCTACACCTTCCATCATACCCCACGACCTAATCCGTTGTGGTGGCGGTGTGGCTCTCAGCTCCCAGTCCCCGCTCGGGCTATCCCATTACTCCTCTGGAACCTTCCCCTCCTTTGAGTACCTTACCCTTCATCACCCCTCCAACCTTTCTCTCAAAATTCTCGTTCTCTATCGCCGCACCCCCAGGCTCTCCCCCACCTTCCTCCCTGACATCTCCACCCTCCTATTTTCTCTCTTCCTCTGCTTCAAACGCCTCCTCATCCTAGCCAACTTCAACCTTCACCCCTCCTGCTCTATCTCTGCTGACTTCTCCTCCCTTAACTCCCCCCTCAACCTCTCCCTCCACATCGACTCCGCCACCTATGTCCACGGTTACCCCCTTGACCTGTTGATCACTCAGGGCCTCACTGGCTCAGACCACTATCACCGACAAAGCCATCTCGGACCATCACTTCATCCCCCTTAACTCCTCAATGCCTCTCCCCACTGCCACCCAAACCATCTCCATCTCCACCACCCCTGGAAAAAAATCTGCACCCCTTCCCTCTCTGCTGCCCTACAGTCATCTGAACTCCTCCTCTGGGCTTCCTCCTGCAATGACTTATCATCCTTGGTCACTCTCCTCCACAACTTCATCTCCACCATTCTTGATGCCCTTGCTCCCCTCTCATCCCGAACCATCTCCTACTCACGAAAGTCACCATGGTACACCAGCCACCTCCACTCCCTTAAAGTACAGGTGCACCTGGCTTAAATTGAATTTAACGGTCCATTGGCAGATGTGTCTAGACCTTACCAAATCTTACCGCTCTGCCCTCTGCTAAATCGTCGTCCTACTCCAAGACAATGTTCGAGGCCATGGGCAACCCCAGGCTCCTCTTCCCCATCACCAACAAGCTCCTCCGCCCACCCTCCTACACAGCATCCATCCTCACCGCCAATGCCAACTGCGAGGCGATGCAGGATTTCATCAGTCGAGAGGATCTGCTCATCTGCCTCTGCTCTTCCAACTACTACCCTGGCCCCTACCCATCTCTCCCTCCACACCTTTGAACCGGTCTCTCACTCCTTTCTCACCACCACTACAACCCGCATGAAACTGACCACCTGCTCCCTTGACTCCATCCCTACCCCTGTCCTTACCACCCAGCTCCACCTCCTTGCCTCTCTATTCACAGACATCATAAACCTCTCCCTGTCCACTGGCACCATTCCTACCCCTTTAAAAACAGCTGTCATCACTCCTATTCTTAATATTATTATGATGACTGACACGATTCATTATCGAGTCTGTGTATAGGGGTAATGGGAGATACAGCTCACAGTTGTATATTGGGAGACCTGGAACTGAGAAAACCCTTCCAAGACCAGTTAGCTCTGGAGACAAACCAAGAGTGTAAAGGAAAGGCAGCATGAGTTGAACCAACACATGGAAAGTTTGTTGAAGAAGCTGATGAAGCCTGTTTGCTGTAACATGTGAGAGACATCTCTGATGCTTGTTATTTTGTTTCCAGACAGCAACAGTTGATGATGAAACTGCCCAGTTGTTCAGAGATTCTTTATTGGTGCCCGTGACAGCCCTTGGTATTGTTCAGTTAACCTTGATATGCTCTGGAAGCCTACTTGTTCTAGTATGTGCAGTCGGCCTTTGCGTGACTTCAGAAGACGAAAGAAAAGGAAAACCCTTACATTTGATGTAGTGCCTTACCACCTCATCAAAACAACTCAAGTGTATGAGTCGGTAGATCATTGTTTGGATGATGTTTCCTCATGTGACTAATTTGTGATATCTCTTTGTGTGATTCCTTTATAAGGAATACTTATACAATTCCTTTTTAAATGTTGTGGTCCGAGCCTCTGTAGCCAGTTATATCCAATGTTCTAACCAGAAGCACGGCAGTCAGTAATTCTGATGTGGCTATTTTGAACTATTTGGTGATATAAATATTAATAGTGATATATAGTGTGAAACACCAGTAACTATCCTTCTTGGGGGTGAGTTAAGGGTGGTCACCTTGGAGCTGAACTGGGTCCATGGTGACATGATTGGCAACTGAATGTCAGAATCAGTAGTTCAGTTCCTGAGCCAGGTGGGTCCTGAGCCAGTGGCCCTGCTGATGACAGCACAGCCAGCCTGGTTCATCAGCAGTATCTGGAAGCACAGCCTAGCCGCTGGGGGCAGGGAGTCATCCCACTCAGCTCCTGTTAACCCTGCAAGCCAAAGCCCTAACAGGTATGGGCACCAAGCTGGACAAGCAGCGGGAAAGCTTGCCATGCCAGTCAGTGCTTTAATCAGAAACTATGGGGTTTTAGCTGGTTAGACTCAAGAAGTACCCCAATGCATACGCTGGGGTCCTCAAACCTTGATTCTTGCCAACCTGCGCCTAATACTCTCCCGGAATTAGGTAAGCAGGAATGGGTACCTCCAGGGAGAGATGGCCTCCAATAAATGTCTCTGGAATTTCCATGTGTAGTGGGATGCATAGAACTCAGTTTGGTTTGGAGAATCTAAAGCATGGTGATGAGTTTCTGCACGTTTCAGACACCCGGCTGCCCACTAAAAGTGTGAAACACTAAATGATCAGTAGGTGACAATGTGGTTCCCGAGAATCACTTCGGGAGTCTACCATATTAATCCCTAGTTTGGAGACATTGACAGTTGTTTTGGCCATGATGTCTTTTACTGAAAGACGGACAGTCATAAGAGACAGTGTAGAAAAGACACGTTAGGAAAATAACTCTAACCTTGGCAGAGAAGGCTCGATGGACTGGCTGATCTAAATCCTCTTTCCTATTCCTATCAATATTCTTTTTACCAATCTTGCTGTATTGCCATGAGAACAGAGGAAAACAAACAAACCGTGATTTAATTTTTAACCAGTGGCATGATCTGAAATTATTAACACATTGGTTCTATCATTAAGTCAACAGTTTAATACACCCATTAATGTGATTATACCATCCTATGTTTCTCTTTTATAATAAAGAGTAAATGTTAGCATTTGCTGAATGTTTGGATGGAAGCATTGTTAAATAAGGAATATTCTGTGAGATGCATTGCACTTTTGCTGAATAAAAGCACTTTTAAAAGTTGGCCGCTGTATGTTTGCTTCCTTCTTTGTACAGTTTTGCATGCATGCACACTGGAGTTATCCTACAAATCCCTGGGCAGCATTAGTTCTCAGATTTACCGCTCCACCCCACCAACAATAGAGCTCAGCTTCCTTGGACTATATGAGTTCAAAGTCTTGACTTGGGACTTGAGCCCACAACCTTCTGACATGAGATGAGAGCGCTATCACCTGAGCCAGACATTTCATAGAACACCCAAGTGTTTTTCGGTGGACAGCCAGGTGTCTTGACACATGAGGAAACCTATCACCGTGCTTAAGAGTATCCCAACCAAGCTGAGATTTCCATGCACCCCACCTACATATGGAACAGAACAGTTGCTGGATGCAGGGAATCATCCCGCTCCTAACCCTGCAAGCCAAAGCCCTAACAGGTAGGGTGGTCCTAGCTGGACAAGTTGGAAAGTTTGCCAGACAGTGATATCAATGGCGAGCTATGTGGTTTTAGCTGGTTAGACACCAGCAGTTACCCCAACACACACTTTGGAGTCCCCAAGCCTTGGCTCTTGCCAACCTGGGTCTATTACTTACTCCCAGTTAAGACTTGTACTTATTGCTTTTGTGCCTTATTGTCTCTATTGAACATTAAGCCTCACTGAGCCTCAGGCACCAGCTTGAATACAATACCTGAGGTATAGCAGAGCCAAGAGGTACGAGCATATCGCTTAATCTCAGTGCGTAGGAAAATGTTACGTCACAAAAGTTTCCATCAACATTTTATGAGCTACAGCACTAACATTGTATGTGGCAATAAGACTTTGATTCATATGCAATGCACACAACAATACTTATGATAGTCATATAACTAAAATAACAATCAATTACCAAACAAGCATTTTTGTTTTGTAAACGATGAGATGACTTTTTAATGAGCTTTAAGATTTGTCCACTAAACACACAGTCACTGGGATTTAGCTACAGTAAATCCCATGAAGCGCTTTGAGACCTCCTCCTGATGGCAAAGGCAATATATCAAATGCAAGGATTCTTATTTATTTATTTTTACTCGGGTCTCTCCCTAAAGCACTGTAAAGTGTATATTCGCAGGTATCAGCATCCAGGAAGTGACTGACCAATTTATTTTCAATCGGGATGATTGTTGGCCAGGACTCTTGCTGCGATTCAATCACCTATTTCTAAAATTGGGCTAGTAGCAGAGTTCTTCCATTAAACTCTAAAATAATAATAATAATCCTTGTATTTGATATAGCACCTTATCACACCATTGAGACATGTCAAGATGCTTCACAGAATATACTGCTAAGTGAATTTACTTCAATAATAATTATTATTTTGTAAGTGAAACGCAGCAGCCAATTGCACACAAACAACAACAACAAGATTACATTTGCATAGCAGCTTTCACGTTGGGAGGACGTTCTAAGGCGCTGAAACAAACAGTCGTGGATTGAGTGACCAGATTATTATTATTTTTTTGGGGGGAAGGGATTATTACCCCCAGAAAATAATCCGCCAATTGACTAACAACCGGGTTCCTACTTACTGCTAGTTAAATAGAGACGAGTGTGTGGAGTAAGAAAACTTGCCTAATGTTTCGCCCTGCCCAGGAATCCAACCCAGGTCCTCTCGCTTGCAATGGAACCATGAAATTGGGGTAGGGGAGGGGAGAAAGTTGCTTGTTTTCAATCACCGATATAAAGTGATGTAGAGCAGGAAGTACAAATCACATATTTCTAATCTACAGCGATAAATTCAGAGATAAACAGCTGAAACATCTTTTATGTCTCGGCAGCACTCTTCCCTCTGGTTCAGAAGGTTGTGAAAAGTTCAGAAGGTTGCAATACAAATTTACATTGATATAGTGTCATTCACCTCAGGAGGACATCCCAAGTCTATGCCAAGCTCACAGTCCAGAGTAACGCCTACGCCTCAGTCTAGAAGCAGAGTGTTGGAGGTGTTTTCCTTCAAATATCTTGTGACTCTATCAAAAAAAAGGACGTTCCAGTGTATCAATACATTTATATGGTGACTTTCATGTCAGGTAGATGTCTCAAAGCCCTTTACACTGTTAGCTGGGCACCTGAGCTGGGGAATGGAAGCTGAAGAGAGTGGGAAGAGGGGAAACAGACCGAAATCCCGGTCGAAGAGGTAGGTCTCGAGGCTGGCTTTGAACGAAGGGAGTGAGCTCCCTTTGGCCGTTCAACAGTCCTCTAGATAGGTTGATATTTCGCCCACAGGATATACAGTCAATTCACTTTACAGTATATTCTGTAAAACGCTTTGAGACATCTCACCAATGTGATAAGGCGCTATATCAAATGCAAGGATTATTGTTATTGTTATGATTATCATTATTACTATTTTCTTTCAACCTTGTGGCTGTTCATGTGACATTGCTGTCACATATAGGCTGCTTCGCTGGACTATCAATACACAATTGCTACACATGGCAGAAGTTATTTCAAGGTGTTTCTAAATATTTTGATGTGGCAAGGAGCTACAAAATAATATTTTATAATAACTAATAATAATAATAACCCTTGCATTTGATATAGCGCTTTTCACGTCTTCTCGACGTCTCAAAGCGCTTCACAGAATAGACTGTAAAGTGAATTGACCGTATATTTGTGGGAGAAACGTGGAAAATATCATTTTCATATGATATCAAACTGGAAATAACCAAATGCAAATTGTAATTAATTTGGAAGAGTATATTTGTGTGTGTTTGTAAGTGTAGCTGATGGCATAATTCTTGCATTTGATTTAGCACCTTATCACATTATTATTTAAATGCTTTGATACATCTAGAAGATGTGATAAGATGCTATATCAAATGCAAAGATTATTATTCTTGAGACATCTCAAAGCTCTTCGCAAGACATACTGTAAAGTGGCACATACTGTAATGTCCATCATGTCCACAGGAGGACACTAAATCTCACACAAATGACCAGCGCTGATGCTTCTGAAGGTCTCTGCACCTGCTTTCTTGCTGGAGTCCAGCCTGGGTCACAGTGCAATTCAGCAACCAATCTGCACAGATATGGTGTTGAACATTGGGCAATATTTTAACATTAAAACATTATTATCAATAGTTCAGGGCAATGCATTAATATCTATATAATTCAAGGTAAAACCCAGTCTAAAACCGATGTATCCTTTCAGTTCAGTAAAATAATAAATAATAATAATCCTTGCATTTGATATAGCACCTTATCACACAGTTGAGTTGTCTCAAAGCATTTCACAGGATATACTGTCAATTGGATTGACTGTATTTTCTGGGCAAAATGTGGCGGCCAATTAATTGCTCATAGTAGTGTCCCACAAACAGTTGTGGATTGACTGTTTTTTTTCTCGAGGGATTATTACCCCCGGAAAGTGACTATTGGGTTCCTACTTTGCTCTTAGGTAAAAAGAGGCTTGTGGAGTAAGGAAACTTGTCTAAGGTTTCACCCCGCCCGGAAATCAAACCCGGGTCCTCTCGCTTGAAAGATATGCTACAGGACTCCTAAAAATATCACATTCAACTCAGATTCAGGCATTTATACCTGCAGTGTTTTGTTAAGTATGTTGATCCTCTCATTGAGGTTATGTTTTAATATCACTGTTATTCCGGAAATGCACTTAACCTGGGAGAAATGTTAAACCATGGTCCTGTTTGTCTGTTCAGGGGTACATTAATAGACCATGGGATCATAGCAAAGGGGAGGGGGAGTGTGAGGGGGCTTTGATAATCATTTTAATTATTGTTAATTCAAGCTGCAAGGGATAAAAATATAATCCTGCTCACTGATTGATGATTGAAGACACAGTTTACTGCAGCAAATATCTTTTTTGCCGCTTGCACTGAAGAAAATCTAATGATAATGATCCTGCTTCCCTATTTGATATGGTGCCTCTTCAAGTCGTTGTAACGTCTCAAAGCATTTCACAGGATTTAAGTGACTGTGTATTTTACAGGCAAAATCCATCACAAGTATCCAGTGAAGCACATTTTCCTTCAACCTCAGCAACCAGACTGTAACAATGATTCTGTGTGTCAGTTTAGCTCAGTAGGTGGCACTATTGCCTCTGAGTCAGATGCTTGTTGGCTCTCAAAGATTCTGGGTTCAACCCCTTTGTTGGGATTTTGAGTTTCAAGTCTTGGCTGACACTGCATTGCAACAGGTTCCATCCTTTGGATGAAACTTTAAGCTAAGGTCCCATCTGCCTGTTTTTCAAATGGACCTTGAAAACCCCTTGGCACAAAGAGAAAGGAGTTTCTGTCTGCCGGTGTCCTGGCCGACAATCCTCCGAATAAAATTGATCATTCACTTCCTAGCTGTTTGTGGAACATTGCAAATTGGCTGCCTGTTCACCTACAAATACAGTCACTACACTTTAGAGTATATCCTGTGAAGCATTTTGAGACATCCTCCTGATGTGAAAGGCGCTGCATCAAATTATTATTACGATTATTTGCTGTTAAGGTATATGGCACAAATTAGCAATTGCCCACAAAACAGTTGTTGGCTACACTTCAAAGAATCTCAATGGATAGAACACTCAAGACGTTTTGATGTGATAAGCCACCTTTATTGAAATGCATATAATTGGTTAAAAGAAGTTTGGCAGACCTGCCTTTGCTCTTTGTGGTTCTGTATGTTTGCTAATCTTTTTTTTAGTAAGAGGTATATTTCAATCTGATTTACGTTGCTGCATTGTGTGCTTCTACCTTCTATTCAGTGACTCATTACAAAGTTGTGTGGATGACTGCATTCAAGAAAAGCTTACGTCACACACTTATCAATCACTCGTTTTACAGAGAGCTGCGGTTGAGATGCGGACACCACATTGTAAAAAGGATTGAAATATCTTGTGTGCTGATCTCATATCTTGGCACAATATCATTGAACGTTTATGGCACAGGGGAGGATGCTGAATTCAACGCGCCTGTGCCTGGCGCTGGCTTCCCCCACTGAGTGGAAAAACCAACTCTAATCCCGTTCTTTTGCTCTTT